TGGGCAGGGTAGAGCCTGGTACTGAGGATCAACAGATCGATAATCCAGGGGCAGATGGGCACATCCAGGGAAGCTGGAAAGGCAGGTGGGGCTTCTCTGGCCAAGTGACAGCACTGAGGCAGGGGATGGGGACAGGCTGGACCTCTAGGTCTCTGGAAAGCAATTAGCATCCCCAGCCCCCACCCCAGGAGTAGATGCCCCTGCCCCAGAACTCCCAGCCCCACCCAGGATGCCCCCTCCGCAGGCCTCCCTTCAAGGAAGTGGTCTGGGTGGGCCCCAGGAGGACAAGGCCATGTGTGATTAGTCCTTTCAAACAGCTGCGCTTCCTGCAAGCTGAGAGCCCGAAGAACGAAGCACGAGGCGGCGCCGGCCCAGACACGTGAGCTGGGAGGGGGTGGGGGGTGGCGTTCCGCAGGCCGCTGACTCAGAGCCGGGCGGCTGTGGTCACCCCGCGCCGGGGATGTGGCAGCCAGTGCGGCTGGGTGGGGCCGGCCTCCCGCTTGCTTCTCCGGGACTGCGCCTCCCTTCTGTCCCACGGCCACCGCCTTTGAACAATAGAGGGAACACTCACTCCGTGGAGTGAGCCCTCTCCAGGCATGATTCTCACCGCCGCAGCGCGGTCACTTCATCGAGACTCAGCTGTCGCCTTCTGATTGTTTCCAGGTTCCAGGTGCCCGCGAGCGTCCATCTCGCCGCTTTCTGCACCACCAATACTTGTGTTGCCTGTGCAAAATAGGTGCCTGAGTTCAGCTTCAGGCCGGACGTTTTTTAGAAATCGGTCGTCTTTCTTCCTTTCTTCCTTCTCTTCCTCCCTTCCTCCCTCTCTCCTTTCCTTCCTTCCTTCCATTTGTGGCACTGGAGCTACACTCCCAGCACTTTTTATCTTTTTTATTTTGAAACAGTTTCACAGTTGCCCAGGCTGGGCTCAAAGTTGCGATCCTCCTGCCTCAGCCTCTCAGTGATGTGATCACAGACAGGTATGCACCATCCCCAGCTGCCACCCCAGCTGTGCCCATTTTGGAAATCATAAGTTTTCTGTATAATTGTATTTGCTGTATCCAGAAATCATATCATCTGGTAAGAGAGGAACAACTTACCAGCTGTGATGAGAGTTGGCAGGAAGCTCTCAGATGCTGCTGGTGGTAAGTGAGCAGGTGGCATGGCCAGCAGAGCTTGCTGTTGTCCTAGGTAACCTATCTGGGGTAGGATGAGTGAGTTCTGTATCTCAGCAATTGTGGCAGCTACACAGCACTTGCCACAACTTACAAAGCTACATACTCAAAGAGTGAATTTTACTGCACGTAAATTATACTTTAATTTTTTTTTGTACTGGGAATTGAATTCAGGACCTCATGCCTGCCAGGCAGGCACTGTGCCACTGAGCTGTATCTCTGGCCCTGCACTTTAATTTTTAAAAAGAGGTTTAGTTTGGCTTGTGGCTCTGGTCCATGGTCAAGGGCCAACAAGGTCCACATCCTTGTTGATGGGGTCCTGGGGAAGTGAACACTGTTACATGGCAAGAGACAGGAGTGAATGTGTGTTTGCAGGAGGCTTCACTGTCTTTGCCCGGCCCTCCCCCTCTTTCTTCTCCCCTCCATTTCCTCTTCCTCCCCTTCTCTTCCCCTTTTCTTCCTCCCCTCCCCCTTCCTTATCCTGTTTGTTTGAGTCAGAATCTCACTGACCTCAAACCAATTGGCTCAAGTGATCCTCCTACCTCAGCCTCCTGAATAGCTGGGACCACCAGTCTGTGCCACTGAACCTAGTTACACCTTCACATTTTTAATTTAAAACAGCCCCCCCCCAAAAAAAAAACATACACAGGTACACATCTGTAATCTTAGCTCCTTGGGAGGCTGAGGCAGGAGAGTCACAAGTTCATGGCCAGTCTGGGCAACTTGATGAGTCTCTGTCTCAAAATAAAAAGTAACAAAATACCAAGGATATAGCTTAGTGATGGAATATCCCTGAATTCAATCCCTGATAGTGAAAAAAAAAACAGAAGAGGGCTGGGGATATAGCTTAGTGGTGGAGCACTTGCCTGGCCTGTGTGAGTCCCTGGGTTCAATTCCCAACACGAAAAACATTGATTAATTAATTTTAATTTTAAAAACAGAATAGTATGAAATTCGATCAAAGGGTATGCATATCTGTATTGTGGACTACTCGGCTATGAAAGAGAACTAACTCTTGCTAAGTGAGACAGCTCAATGAATAGCAGACTGAGAGAAGCTGGGCAGGAAGAGTATTAACAGTGTGAGTTCATTTCTGGGAAGTTCGTGAATAGACAAAACCACATTGTTGTGATAGAGGTCAGAATAGTGGTTTCCTCTTCCTTAGGAGTGCCAGTAAAGGACACCAGGGGGCCCCTGAGATGCTAAGTGTCCCCTCCCTTAAGCCAAGGGCTGGTTCCTCCGGTCCACATCCCTTGCTAATGATGTTTGCCTTTGAGAGATGCCAAGTATTTCCCAGATAAGAAGTTTTGGCACCACCCTGCCTGCCCCACCCCACTCCCCATTTGTACTGAGTGACATCCCCAGCCTTTTCTTTTCCTTTTTTTTCATTTTGAGACAGGGTCTCACTGAGTGACTGAATTGACCAGGCTGGGGTCCAATGTGCAGACATGCTGTCCCTCCTGTCTCAGCCTCCAGAGTAGCTCGGATTATAGGATACATTATTTTTAAACAGTTACTACAGAGGTTAGTGGGTGAGCAGTTTGGTCGATGACGTGGATAGAAATCCTTCCCGCTTCCCACTCCCCACCCCCACCCCAGCTGCCCAGGCTGGTTCCCGCTGCCCCATGCCCAGCTCCCCACAGCTCTTTCACTGCCTGAGCCAGGGGCACGTGGCCGCTGCCAGCTGCCCCAAGGCTGGAATTCCTGCCCCACCCCAGCCAGCAAAACAAACTTCAAAACTGGCTGACAGCCCAGGATTTAAACCGCCTGCCTGTGGGATCCACTTCCCTTTAAGAGCACCCTGAAAGAGATAGAGCTTCCCTCCCTGGAAAGAAGTTTGTGGGGCACCTCTGCCCCGTACACTAGGGCACGGAGCCCTGGCCTGAGTGGAACCAAGAGTTCCAGTGGCGCCTACACCCTCCGGTAAATGCTGCCAGCCCTGCCTTCTTGTGTGTGTAGTGCGGACTTTTGTCTGCTGGCTGCTCCAAGGGCCTCTTTGCTCCCCACCACTTTTCTCCAGCAAAATGAGCTAATGCCCTCATAAGGAGCCAAGAAGACCATACATAAGGCCAGGAGTGGTGGCCTATAATCCTAGCACTCAGGAAACTGAGGCAAGAGGATTGCAATGAGTTCAAGCCCATGCTGGACTACCCAGAGTTCAAGGTCTTCTTTAAATAGCAAGATCCTATTTCAAACCCCCCAAAAAGTAATAAAATAAGTAAAAATGTCCCCAGCATACTGAGTGTCCCATGACTGTAGCTATGATGGATGGTGGCATCTGGCTGGAGGTCTAGGCATATGGCCTGGCTTAGTGGGGGGAGGACAATGACAGCAGGGCAAGCCAGCCCGAGTGCCCTTGGAGATGGAGCGTGGGAGTCCTGGGCCGGCTGCAGTGCCTGCTTCTTTGTCCATTTTGCAAGCTGGAGCAGGCGAGTACTAGCACTGAGCACCACCTGCCTGCATGCAAAACCAGGAGGGAGGGCACTGCGGAGGTGGCGGGCAGGCAGGTCTCAGCGTGATGCTGCCAGGACTTACCTGTGCCCTTCCTTTGAGATGCTTTTCTCAAAGATCCCTTCTTAAAGGTTAAGGGATTTTGTTTTTCAGTGCGAGGGATTGGGTCTCTTGCATGCTAAGTAAATGTTCTACCGCTTGTCTACACTCCCAGTGCAATTCTTTTTTTCAAGTACCAGGGATCAAACCCAGGGGCTAATTCCATCCTCCCGCCTTAGCTTCCCTAAGTGCTGGGATTACAGGTTGTACCACTATACTTCAGGCAGGGTTGGACCCTGCCTCCAGTATTCATTTTGTTACCAGTTGCTTAGTCAGTTGAGGAACCCCTCCCTGAGCAGGAGCCCAGCCCCCATCCCTCAAAGCCATGCCCCAACCATGTACCCTTCAAGGACCAGAGACAGGGCAAGTGTCCTTTACATTCTAGGGTTCTGGAGTCCCTTCCGTGTATTAGGAAATAGCCTCCACCTTTCCATCTGCAAAACGGGGTGAGTAATCATATCGCCTCCTTCAGAACAGACTTTTACAGGAAGTAGTGACCACAACTCACATGTATGCACTGACATACGGACGCACCATGGAGTTTGTCCCTGTCTGGTGCCTGGAATGAAACCCAGGGCGGCACACACCAGCCTGTGTGTGTATCAAGCAAAGGCAGCGTCTCACTTGTCCAGATGCAGGAGTCCCTACAAGCCTATAGCTCTCTCGGTGGGGAGGAAGGGGATATCTATGGTGAGGGGATGCAGAAAGGATTTCCTCCACTCCTGGGTCTGAGCCTTGTTCTTCCTGCTGCTTTGAAGGGATGTCTGAGGGGGGCCCAAATCCTCAAAGAACCTGCCAGGCGTCCTCATGGCCATACTCCTGGCTATACTGCCACAGTCTTCCCATCTTTGACCATTCTTGAGGAGTGATGGGGTCATTCTCACCAAGTAGTGCAGGGTTTTGAGCTCAGAGATGCTCACATGGCCAAATGAGGTGAAGGAAGGGCTAAATCCAAAGTCCTGGTAGGACTGTCATGAAAGATGACCAAACTGGGCATGGTGGTACATACCTGGTAATCCCAGCACTTAGGAGGCTGAGGCAGGAGAATGGCCACAAGTTCAAGGCTAGTCTAGGCTGAAATAGTGAGTTCAAGGCCAACCTGAACTACATAGTGAGACCCTGACTTTAAAAAAAAAAAAAAAAGAGCTAAAAGGCTTCAGGGAAATAGGGAAAGACAGTCCAGTCACCTCTCAGAGATCTTCCAGCTTTGCTGACCCAAGCCCATCATCATGCCATCACTGGATCTGCCATGGTCTCATAGCACACAAAACTGATCGGTTAACTTGCTCATCAGTGCTTTATTGAAACAAGGCCCAACAGCTGAGTCACTGGGCCTTCAAGCACAGCCCTTCCCGCATCTTGAGATTCCGAACCCAGAGGTTGCCGGGTCCTTGCTTTAACTGCTTTCGTAACATTTCCTTTTGAATATTTCCACATGCTAAATATAAAGACTTCAGTCCACACAGATACATGTACATTCCTGCCGCAGGCTGTCATGTTCACCAAAGTGCTTTCACGCAGTTTGTGTGCACATGTATGTGCAAGACATCATACATCCAATGACCATTCATCCATCCATCTGCGACAGGACAGCAGCAAATTCTGACCAGTCAGGCCCAGGGTTCATGGCAGTGGGCGCTGGGCTTCAGGAGTGGGAGGTCTGACTCAGGCCTTAGCCTTTGCCCTGGATTCCTCAAGGATAATGATGTCCCTTTCAGGGGCAACAAAGGCAAGGTCAGGTGGGTAACTGATATTCACATCGTGAACCCCAGCTGGATTGGGGAGCCCCATAGCCAGTGTGTGTGTCCTGAGACAAGTATAATTAGACAAAGTAAGGCTGCAACAGGAAAGAGTAAGAGCTTACGTTTACGCTGGAGGTACTTGTAAGGGAGGACAAGGGAAGAGGGGAAGAAAAAGGGACAACACGACAGATACCGTGGTCCTTGCAGAAGGCAGGGGCAGCCCTGGCCTGGTCAGTGCTCAGGGGCAGCAGGTTGGCTGGCTCCCAGGACATGACAGAGCTTGTCTGCAAATCCTGAGAGGCTGTGGCTCCCCCAGCTACACACACACACACACACACACACACACACACACACATACACAGAGCTCTGCTGAATGTGGGAAGACAGAGCAACACAGACAAGGAAGGAAAGCCAAAAGGCCCTCCTGCTGGACACCAAATACTTGCTCTAAGCTGGTGCGAACCACCAGGCAGGGGTGACACCAGGGTGTGGAAAATGACTGGAAGGAGACAAAAGAAACTAGGGGCAGGGGCAGACAGCCAGGACACCCATGCTGTCTTCCCCCAGCTAGCACCTGGGACCTCTGGCAGGCCCCTGGGACACTGGCACCCAGGCCCTGCAAGGCAAGGAAAGTGGCGAGGCCAGTGCCCGTGCCTCACTGGTCCTGTAGCCGGCTACACAGCTCCCGCCGGCTCCGCTCCCCAGCCCAGCTGCGCGTCTTGAGGCGGAAGGTCCTCAGCTCCTCCCGAAAGGCCTCATGGTTCATGGGCCGGTAGTCCTGGGGCTCACAGAAGTTCTAGGGGTGGGCATGGGGTGGACAGAGTAACTTCAGTATGCGAGTGTGATTTCAGGGGGGACCTGGCCCTTCACCACGGGCTACTGTCACACAGAGACTGGCCATCCCCATCATGGTACTGACCGGATGCTGTGGGAAAAACTCCTTGTAACCGCCCTTGAGGATGTACATCTCGGGGTAGTAGAGCCTTGGATAGTCATTGGCTGCGCGATCACGTTCCCTGATGAATCGGCACCTGGTGTGAGTTGGGGACAAAGATGAGAGCTGGGGTCTGGGTGGGGGCCCATTCCCTGTACCCAGTCTTAGGGAGGCTTTGGGGAGCTACAGAAAGTTGCTGAGCACAGAAATGTCTCCCATCTCCCACAAGATTAGCTGGCTACCAAAGAGAAGCTGGGGTGAAAGCAGGAAGGAGGTGGATCAAGGGGGCAGCGTCTGTTTCTAGAAAGCAGTTGTGCAATCTTCACTAGAGCAATCTGTGACCTGGATCAGGAGAAGAAGTGGAGAAGTGACAAGTGGACATAATTCAATACATTCCAGGGTTCCTGGACCAGACTCTGTGAGGACCTAAGTTGGAGAAGAGGAAGGGAGGGGAAAAGGCCCAAGACCATTGCTCAGTGCCTGGTCAGGGTGGGAAGCTGTGTGGGGGAACCTAGCGTAAGGGGAAGCGGGGAGAGGAGTCAGGGGAGAGGAGGGTGGGGTAGCAGGGATGAAGCCTCAGTACGGAGCATCTGGGTGCAGACTCGAGCCCCCAGTGAGACCTGCAGAGAGGACTGGCAGTCAGATGGGCCTGATGGCAGTGCGGAACAGGAGGCAGAGGACAGCTAGCTAAGGTAGACCTGGGTTCCCAGTAGAAACCTAACTGCATGAGCTCTAGAGGATGAGCATCAGAGGCCAGGCACAGGACCCTAGGACTTTGAGAGGACCCTGCTGGAGACATGGAACTAGATTTTGTAGGAGTGGACAGGAGACCTGAAGGGAAGAATGACAGGAAGTTGGGGAGTGGGTGCCATGCATAGTGAGGGGCCGGATCAGCTCTAAGCCATCAGTGCATGCAAGAGGCCCAGGCCGCAAGGCTGGGCTCACATTCTGGCCCCTCCAATGCTCCAGCACCTACAAGCCTGGGCAGGGAACCCAGTGCAGGCATCAGTTGGTGGGGCAGATGGAGCTGGAACTCACATGCGGGGCCCACGCTCTGACGAGAATTCACAGTGGAAAATGAGTATGATCCTCTTGTCCAGGCTACAGGGTGTTATGGGGCTCTGCAGCAGGAAGGTCTCAGCATCTCGTTCAAGGGGCAAGTTCACTGCAGTCTGTCAGAACAGCAGGGGGACAGGCCACTAGCCTGCATCTGAGAGGTAGACCCTCCCCTCTGCATCCTCCACTCCTTGCTAGGCAGGTCCCCAATATGAGAAATAGGTACATCTGCTTCCCACCAATTTAGCTTACCTTGATGTGCCCGCCCTCATACTCATAGGGGTATCTGCAATCTACAATCACAAACTTCTCCACAATGTTGCTGAACTTGCCCATCAGCAAGGCCACCACCTGGAGAGGAATAAGGGTTGGTGCTCTGCCCCCTGCTAGTCTGTACATGCAACCTGCCCCCAGGGGGGGTCAGCAGCCAAACAGTCTCATGCACCTGGAGCCTGGCTCAGCCTCACTTACGGTTTCTGGAGAGATGTACTTGAGGTCTTGGTGTTTGCCATCCACCGTCTGTAGGAGGAAGGCCTGAAGGAAAGGGAAGGAAAGAGAAAGGAAGAGAGGGATGATGGAGTCAGAGGACAGAGTGGAGCTGCTAAGACCAGAAACCTGGAAAGAATGGAACTTCTTTCCCAAGCCCAGAGCCCACATCTGCTTTGGCCTTCAAATTTAGCTCTGGTTCCCACTACTGTGTTCCCAAAAGATATCTTCTGAGGTATCTTCTGAGGCCAACACCCAGGGACTACATCTCAGAGGTAAATGAAGGGAGTAGAACACACATACACACACACACACACACACACACACACACACACACACACACACACACACACACACACACTCTCTCACACATACAGCCCACTCCAAGCCTCTGCCAAGCCTGGGATGAGGCAGAAAGAGATTCCATGCTGCAATTAGTTCAGAGATATTTTCCCAGGCTGAGACACTACAGATGTCTGGGCAGAGCTGAAGTAGAGTCAGGAGACTCATGGAGAGCCAGAGAGAGGAGTCTATCTGGGGAACAAGCTTGAAAAGGGACCCAGAACAAAGAACAGAGTCTCTGGGGAGAGAGGAGAAGCAGGGGCTGCTCTTGGGAGAGGTCAGGTTCCTAGAGTGCCAAGGGGGTACCTTGGAGTAATCGCCAATGAGTCCACGGTGGTCACTGTCCAGAATGCTCTCAATGTCATCGTGACACAGGGACTTTGAGCGGAGGACCCGGGCTTTCTGGGAGATGAGGCAGATGTAGGCCAAGCTCAGGGGTGAGGAAGCCCCTCAGGGTCCTATCTGGCTGGGACTTCCCTTTCCTGCCCTGCCCAGGACACCACCAGCCCTTGGCCATCTGCCACAAACCCAGACAAGAGGCCGATGGCCAGGAGTCCCCCCTCCCCCCCCGCCCCCGCCGAGGTGGGGAGGTGGCGAGAGCCAGGTCCCTGTAGGAAGGCACTCACGGGTTCCCCAGGCTGTTGCTGCTCTTCCGGGAGGGTCACACTCCTCCTCCGCTTTCTCTGGACAGGCATATCCTTGTCCTGGGGCCGCTCGAGCCTCTTGAGGATGGGCCGGATCACTGTGCAGGGCATGGATGGTGAGCGGAAGAGCCGCTGGCACTTGCTGAACATGACGAGGTCCTGACAGAGGCAGCAGGTCAGAGGTCAGAGTACGCAGTCCCCAACCTCAAATCCCACCTGCAGGGAAGGGCCCCAAGTACTTTTTTGGGGCCATGTCCGAGGCCTACCTGCTCCTCTTCCTTCTCCAAGGTCTTGACCAATGGAGCACTAATGAGGCTCTCCATTCCTGGGGGGACTGCATCATCCTCCTGAGACCAAGCACAGGGTTATAACCACAGGCACAGGGTGAATCCATCAAGGCCTTGCATCCTCCAGCACAGCAATCCTCAGGGTTCTCTGGTGAACACCAGGCCCGCAGCCTGCTGCCCCAGACCCTCAACGCTGCAGGGGTCTGCCTGCAGCTGGGGCTGGCCTTGAGCCGGGGGAGGCCCCTCACCCTTCCCAGCCTTCCCTCCACTGTGGCACCAGACCCTGCCCCTTCTCTGATCGGCCTCTCATCTGGCCAGGACTCAGATTTTCCTTCTGACCCTGGGGTGCAGTCACTGTCTTCCTGAAGGGCCTCAGAGCTTTCCTCTTATGGACAGTCCCTGGGAGGTAGAGGTGGGGGCCTTCTGGGCCAAGCCTGTTTACCTTTAAATCACTCTCCAGGATGTCCACAAATCCGTCGTCTTCTTCGGCAGCCCCCTCAGCAGCATTCAGGGAGAAGCAGTGAGACTGGGCCATGGGGCTCAGCTCCTCCACTTCCATCTTCCTTTCCAGAGTGCAGCACTGTTGACAGTGAAGCAGGCACTGTCCTACCCCATCCTCTGGGGCAGGTCCCCTGCCTGGGGGTTCCAGACCATCCATGCCTTCCCAAGGCAGCATCCCGAGGGACCTGCATGGGTCAGCACCTCTCTTTACCATCAGGTTGGGGGCCGAGCTTGGCCTCTGAGTAAAGGCCTCTCTGCGGCTGGCCCACTCCACCAGGGCATGAGCAGAGCTGGGATGTGTAGGCTTCCATGGCATCTTGAAAACAAATCCCTCCTGTGGGCAAGATGCCAGAGGAAGTGTCACCAGATGCCACAGAACCACCCCAGCCTGCCCCCTTCTCTCCTGAGCTCTCCCCTGCAGGCCCCAGAGCGCACATTCTCCTTGTCTTCCCCAGGGCTGCTGACAGCTCTGTCTGCCACCTCGCTCGTCCTCCAGCGGTCCAGCACTTGGGAATTGGTGATGTTTCGGAGCACAGGGCTGTGGCCCAGCAGCCTCACCTGGGAGAGGAGAGGGCAGCATTGAAGGCTGCATTCTTCTGCCAGCAGGCTAGGTGCTCCTTTCCCCCACGCCTCTTCCAGCTCTCCCAGCCACCCAGGAAGTCCTGTTCCCCTGACCCAGCCAAGGGACACCCAGCTACATCAAGCCTGTGCTCAGAGGAACTCTGGGATGCCTCCTGCCCCTGCCCAGCCAGCATGCCTAGGCCTCCAGCATGCCACAGGGGACACTCACTGGCAAGGACTGGAAACGTCTGATGGCAAACTGCTTGCTGCAAAAGGAAGCAGGACCAGGTCAGGGACCAAGAACAGGCAGGATGCCCACTGTACCTCTGGAGGGCAGCCTCTGAAGGGTAGAGGGGTGGGAAGCACTCACCTTTGCATGACCCGGCTGGCTTCCTGGATGGCCTGCTCAAACCTAGGAGAGAGCAATGGGACGCATCTTCCCCTGAAACCCTCAAAGCCCAGGGACAGGGGTGAAGACAGAAGGGGGGGTCAGGACAGGAAGGGGAGGCAGGAGGAAGCCCACTGCCAGGGGCCCAGGTACAGAGAGGGGGCAATGAGAGGCTGCCTGTGAGTTTAAAGGCTGTCCTGAATAGAAGGGGGCCCACAGAAGGCAGCAAAGACAGCTGGGCCAGGTCGCAGGGTCACTGAGGCGTCACCAAGGCAACAGTCTCACCAGCCTGCACACAAGCTTTCCACCTGTATGCAAATCACCCCAGCAGGGGCCATATGGCCGCCAGGAAAAGCATCCATCCATCCAGGGACCAGCAATGTAGTCATCTCCAGGAGTGGACCCCAGAAGTCTGGGCTTCCCTCTCTTCATGAAGTGTTGGCCTAACTTCCGCCAGGACAAGGGCCTGCTTTAGTGGAGGCCATAGCAGGCCACCCCCAGTCACAATGTGCAGGCTTTCATCCTCTCCTCCCTCCTGTGGAATTTTTCCAGATCCTAGCTCTGCCTATCCCACCACACACACACACACACACACACACACACACACACACTCACCAAGAGGCCAGGAGCAAGGAATTCCGACAGATGTTCTTTTGAGGCTGGGCATAGGGTTCTGGATATAGGCCCCCCACCCCCCAGGCTCTGTCACCGGGGACCACCTGCCACGAGGAGCTTTGTGTGTATCTACACACAACACACACACACACTCCAGCTTCTTTCTGAGACTGGATAACCATCCAAGCAGGTGCAGAGATGTGGGGCCCTGAGGGCTAAAGTGTCAAGGGGTGTCCTTCCCCACTCCCAGCCAAAGGCGTAACCAGATTCGATTAATTTGGTTTCCAATCTGCACCTGGGCCTTGAGGGTAAGGCAAGAACAACCACCAAATACCAACCTGCCATCTCCTCCCACCCCACCCAATTCTGTTTCCTGTTTGTGACAAACCTTGCACCCAGCCCAGTTTGATCAAAGACAATGGGAAGAAATAGTCACCGCACTAGACAGTCCCACAGCCCAGGCTGGGGGAGTCCAGCTGTCCCCACTAATGGCTGGCAGCTGCTGTGCCTGCTTGGGCCTTAACAGCTGCATGGAAACAGCTGTGCTCTGGAAGACATTGCCCATGCCCTCTAGCCAAAGAGAGATGTCTGCATGCAGAGCCCAGCAACTTTCTCTCCATTCCCTCAGGTCTGGGGGTTGACCAGAGTCAAGTGGCATTGAAGCCAGATAGGCCAAACCAGTCCAAAGGCAACTGATTTTGATTAGCCCAGAATGAAGTAAAGATACGAATTAGTGGTTTTTTTTTTTTTTTTTTTTTTTTTCCCCATTACTGGACATCGAACCCAAAGCCTTCAGTCCTTTTTATATTTTGAGACAAGCTCTTGTTCAGTCACTAGGTTGCTTGGGCTGGGCTTGAACTTGTAATCTTCCTGCCTCAGCCTCCCCAAGTGCTGGGATTACATGCATATGCCATCACACCCAGATTAGCTGGACCCCACTTTTAAATTAGATATTTCACATACATACTCAATACGGGATCCTGAGGGATCTATTTTCCTAGGCTTCTCAGTGAGTTTGTGCTAGACCTAAAATTCTAAATGCTATCTAGGCTCTAAAATGCTGACCCCTTGGTAATAGAGACTCCCCTTTTTCTACTCACATCTGCTCTGCCATTTGGGGGTCCGTTGGACTTGGGGAATCCATGCAGAGACCTGCAGGGACAGAGTGCTTTCATTTGAAACTAGAAGCATTTTCTGTTTACTTCCCTCATCATGCTGGAAAAGTCAGAGGAGAAAATTCTGACTATTTTAGATTTGGACACATTAAAAAATGAAACAGAAACCTACTCAGTGACCCACAGGTGATACATTGTCCTCTAAAGGGCACAGGATTCCATTGCCTGTGTACTATACAAACTTCCACAATCTGTGAAAACTTCAATGCAGCCAGGTGTGGTGGTGTGGCTGTAATCTCAGAATTCTGGAAGGCAGAGGCAGGAGGACTGCAAATTTGAGCCCAGCCTGGGCAATTTAACAAGACCCTGCTTCCAAATAAATAAATAGATGAAGCTCAGGCCCTGAGTTCATTTACCAGTGCCATAAAAACAACATAAGGAAAAGAAAACAACAACAAAATGTCTTCTAAAAAAATTTTTTTTTTGAGATAGTGTCAGTGTATAGCTCAGACTGGCCTCAAACTCACAGTGATTCTTTGGACTCCTGAGTGCTAGGATTATAGGTGTGCACCACCACATTCAGGAATCTAAGCATTTTTCTTAAATTGCTTTAAAATAATTCATAAGACAATGGCTTCTTAAGAAAAAAAGTTACGACTAAGAGGATGTTTTAAAAGGACTAACTTCCAGGCCTTGGTGTCACACAGGTGGGGCTGTGGTTTAGACTTTGGTGCCAGTTTAATAGGTAAGATCTTTCTGCACTCGGGCCCCACCCTCCGGGCTCAACAGCCTGGGTGGAGTGTGGAGAGCATGGTAAGAGGCTGTCTTCCTCCCACTGATGCGCAGGAAGCGAGGTCCCCTGTGCCCACTGGAGTGTGGGAAAAAAATTGATCTGATAGGCAGGGAAGTCTGGAGGGCCAGGTGGTCCCCCCAGGTCACCCACCCCATTGGGGGTTCTCCCCAAGGACACTGGGATTCACCTGCATCAGAAGACTCCGAGGACTCAGATGACAAGGAGGATTCTGATGCCCGCCGGGACAGGGATAAGCGAGTCAGCTGACTTTGGAGGGGTAGGTTCTGATGCGTTGGGGTATTGCTGGGAAGGGAGAAGAGTTCCAGGAGAGAAAGGTAAATGCTGGGCTCTGGGGCTGGCCAACCCATGTTCCCATGCACCAGCCTCCTCAGTGTTTCCCCACGCAGATGAGTTCTCTGACATCATGCCAGGGAGGTGATCAGTCTCCAGCCTGTCTTTTCAGGCCAAAGTGACTCATTCTAGTGAGGCCCGAAAGTGTCTGTGTTAATTACATTAGGAAAGATCTTTTGAGGTGTAGGGAGAGAAGAGCCCAGGGCAAGGGCAAGGGGGGGGGCGCCACCCCAGGGATGGGTCAGGGGCAGCAAAGCAGTCCCAAAGAGCCATCCATCCCCTCCTAGAGAACACTTGAAGATTTGAGTCTCTACGGCTGTTGGGACCACGATCCCAGGCTCGCCTTGAAGCCGGGTTAGCCTTTTAATCACACCAACCCTGGGTGCCGAATGGGGTTGCAGGGAGCAGAGAAAGGCATCAACCTGCGAGAACTACCCTGGAGTTCCCGCTCCGGTCTTGGGATACCCTGCCTGGGGCAAAATGGTGGCAGCTGGGGCTGACTGAGATTAGACAGGCGGCGCCGCGGTGGAGACGCAAAGAGGGAGGAGGGAAAGGAAAGAGGGTCCTCAGCAGGCCACCTGGAAGGTGTGAGCTGCACAATACCAGGCTCTCAGCGGCCCTGTCCCCGGCTCCTTGAAGTCGGGGGCAAGGGCACTCTTTTGCTCTGCCCCGCTCCACCTGCTGTACTCCGTGCCTCCCATGTCCAGCTCTCTGGGACCCCGGCCCGGGCCTCTAATCCCATGCCTGGCCTTCTTGGGGCGCCCTACCTGCCAAGCCCAGCGAGCTTGTGCATGTTCCGCGTGAGGGTGGTGACCAGAGAGGAAGAGACCGCGCGCTCCGGTGACCCCAGAAGGCCCGGGGAGCTCCGCTGGCGCCCAGGGAGGCGGCCTGGGCGCGGGGCGCCAGTGTGCACGCTGGCCGAACTGAGAGCCGAGCCGGGCGCAGGCTCGGGCTGGGGCGGGGGTTCCTCCATCGCCGCGGAGCTGGCTGCAGACGCTGGGCACAGCTGGCGGGGATAAGAGAGGGAGCGGGCTTGGGGTAGGAAGGGGGAGGGAGGAAAAGCTACGGGGGCCGGGAGCGAGGGAGACGAGGGAGGACAGGGATGCGGGGAGGGTGGGAGAGGTGGAGGGGCGCGGGACTCAAGCTGCAGTTCGGGAGCCTCTACTTGCAGCTGCCACCTCCACCTCCTTATATATTCGAAAAATAACAGCGGCCGCGCCGCCGGACGCCACCAATGGGGGCGCGGGGTAACGGAGGGCGGGCCCGAGGGCGGGGCCCTTGGGGCAGAGCGCGGGGCAGGACAAACCCGGTTCCCCAGCAGTCAGTCTGCCTCTGGGTGGAACCGAGCACTGGGGTTTATCCCCCCGCCTAGGCAGACCCCTTCCCCAGCTCCCCACCCGAAGATCCAGATCTGCACACTGCCTCCTCCTAGGACATGGTTTGGAGCCACGCACGCTCCGAGGAAGCAGCTACCCTCAGGATGGTCCCCGAACGACCCGCGCTGTTAAGATCGCGCGTGACAACCCATGGGGACAGTGAGGTGCTCCACCTGGCTCCAGGACGTTGTGCTAGTACAGCTGTGCTGTGCAGTCTGCGTTCCACGTGCGTTTTGCAGCCGAACGCGTAAAGGCTTGGTGTTCTTTAACTCGTTCAGGGTCACACGTTTGGGCAAGTGTTGGAGCCAAAATATGCACCCTTACTGCTCACGCTTCCAACTGTGCCCAGGGCCGCCAATTCGCAGGCAGAGCCCCTTCGCAGGGGCAGAATGGGTGGGCGCTTCCGGCAGAGAGCAGGCTAGACGTGACCCCAAATGGCCCAAGCTTCTCTGGCATTAATCATGGACTCTGTTGCGGAGACTTAGGAGACCAGAGGCCCAGTTAGGGAAGGATCTCATACTCATTGATGACTTGGCTAATTTGGTGTCAATGGCAGTGTAATTGGGGTTCCTTTGATGTTGTGGGCGGCTGAATTTGTCATTAGTTTACAATAAGCGTTTTCTAATTACCCAGTCACTTTCCAGCCAAGACAATTTTTCTGGACGGAGCCAAAAAGTCCCCATCCGAAAGCCAGTGGAGCTTCTGCCACCCAGGGAAGACATGGCCACTGGAAGGGTGGTCTCTGCGGTTCAGGGGGTAGGGGTGGGAAGCACCTGGTGGGTCAGGTGACCTAAAGAGGACGAGGAAGAGAAGACCCTAGCCCACCTGAGAGTTGACCAAGCCGGAACTGCGCCCTTTTTCTCTGCATTATGCCTAGCTCCTGTACTGTGCCAGGAGCTATGTACTGCTAGGAGGGCATTTCCTGTTGTGTGCTGTGGGCCAGAGGTTAAGCTTGGGACCCCCAACCCCTACGCACAGGAGGGTGAGGGAAACAGGCGCCCTGTGAGGCCTCCCTCCAGAAATAAACTGCCTTGAGGTTGCATTTTCAAAGCCAATACAGCAGGGTTCCCCCCTAGTACCACTCCAAACACACTATCTCCAGAGTGTGTACTGTGTTGATTTGGAAAATCCTTGAATCACACAGCCCATGAGAGCAGGGCACACAGGAGTCCTTCCAGAGCTGTCACACATCAACTCTGTGTCTTCCGGAATCTCCCTTTTCCTGTTAGATCACAGAGTATGTTCTCAATTAAAACAAAAATAAAATTAAGTTAGAACTTATTTGCAACCACTATGGTAACAGAACCAATTCCTTCCATCCAGCCAGGCCTAGGTCACCACTTATGGGGTGCAGAGGTCTCTATCTTCTCTGGAAGCAAACACACTGGGACTGAGCACATTTGAGGGTGTCCAGTGTGGCCCTGGAGACCTGGGTAGAAAGAGGAAACACTGCCTCTAAATCCTTTTTGCTTTTCCAAGACTGATCCTACACAGCATTACCTTTATGGGGCTTTTCAACTTGGTGGAACATTTTCTGATATCATTTGGTGTCTTGTGTTTGTTTGTTTGCTTCTGCAGTACTAGAGATTGAACCAAGAGCCTCACAGTGAGCATCCATCCATTGAGACAGGGTCTCAAATAAATTGCCAAGTTGTCCAAGCTAGGTTCAAACATTCAATCCTTGTTTCTCAGTCTCTCAGAGTGCTGGGATTCCAGATGTACATCCCTATGCCCAGTTTACATGGTTTTTAAAGTTGTTACATGCCATCAAACATTGAGGTAAAGGAATATATTTAAATGGTACAAAAAGACAATGAAAAGTCAGTTTGTGATCCCACACAAGCCTGCAAGGACTTCTCCCCAGAGGCAGCCACTATTATAAATATGTCACATGTTCCCCTGAGGTGCCAACAGAAACACAGTGGTAGCCACAAATGTGAGCCACATGTGGAATTTAAAATTTCCTAGTAGTCCTATTTTAAAAAGAAAAAGTGCACTGGAGGTGTAGCTCAGTAGTAGGGCGCTTTCCTAGCATCTGTGAGGCCCTTAGTTCAATCACTAATACCCCCCAACACACACACACACACACACACACACACACACACACACACACAAAGCAAAAAGGAAAATAGATTATTTTAATATTTAACATGGTACTTTCTAAATATTATTCAACATGGTGTCAACATGCTTTTATTTGATACCAAGTCTTCATATCCAGTGTGTTTTATACTTGAAGCACACCTCAATTAATACTGAGTGCATTTCAACAGCTCCAGAGCCACACTGGTTAAAATGCTGGACAGCACAGGTCTGTATGTTTTTAAGCAAATATATGCCTATTTTTAAAAACTATAAAAGCAGGGCCTGGCGATTTAGCTTAGTGGCTCAAGTGCTTGCCTCATCAGCATCAGGATGTGAGTTCAATCCCAGTACAAAAAAAGTATAAAAACAGTATATAAACATTGTTGCCAAACTTTTTTCTTCATTTTACTTGGAGATAAATCTCTATTAGGATGATAATGATCTCTGTTTCCTCAAATCCCTAATGCAAAACATGTAGGTTATTAGATTGATTGATTGATTGATTGTATTGGGGATTGAATCCAAGACTTTTACATTGGGCTACACCCCCTGTACTGTTTTTATTTTTTCATTTTGAGATAAAGTTTTGCTGAATTGCCCAGGCCAGGCTCAAATTTCTGGTCCTCCTGCCTCAGACTCCCAGAGTGCTGGGATTCTAAAGTATGTGTCACCCACTATACCTGCCTGGTTATCAGCTTCTACAATGATACAGCAAAGAAGCCTATGGCTGCTGGCACTTTAGCTATAGAACAGATTTCTGCTGTGGAACTGCATTACACTTGAAATCTCCTTTCCCTTTCCCTGAATCTTACCTACTTAAGCTGACTGAGCAACAGAAGGACAGGGACCAAGTCATTTATTCATCTCTTCTAGTCTCCCAGTACTGTGGATAGGCCAAACCCATGGATGGCCTCTGAACTTAGTATTTTACTTCTTCAGGTCTCTTGCTGTCTCTCTCCAGTATGGGGAATTCAACCCAGGCCCTCATGCATGCTAGGCAAGTACACTACTACTAGAATACATCCACACCTCTTTTTATTTTATTTTGTGACAGAATCTCACTGAATCACCCAGGCTGACATTGAACTTGTGATCCTCCTGTCTCAGTCTTTCAGAATGCTGGGATTATAGGTATGAATCACTACACCCAGTGGGATTTCTCTTAAGGAGATGGCCAAAGTGCATACAGATATGCTTTATAATCTGTCACTGTTCCTGTCACTATTCTTCTGTAGAGAAGGTGTTTCTTCTGTAGCTGCAGTACTTGCAGCCTTTAAAGAAAATGGGCAGTTAGACATGGATGCCTGACACCTGGCAGAGCTCAATAAGCCACTGTTGATTACGGAATGATTACATGTTGGACTCCTGGAAGATGTGTGTGTGTGTGTGTGTGTGTGTGTGTGTGTGTGTGTGTGTGAAAGACAGGATCTCACAAAGTTGCTCAGGCTGGCCTCAAACTCATGAG